TGGAAGATTGCGTCGACAACCTCGGTTCTGCCATGTATGTCAGCAAGTTAGACTTGCTAAAGTGCTACTGGCAAATTCCTCTGGCAAGTTCTTGTTGCATTTGTTGCATTTGTTACCCCTGATAGTTTCCTTCAGTACTCAGTAATGGATTTCGGCATGCGTAACGCTCCTGCCCCCTTTCAGCGGCTTATTAACATAGTGTTGTCTGGCAGTGTTGTAGTACTCGAGACTCGGACTCGTCTCGGACTCGTTCTCGAGACCATATTTTAATGGTCTTGGTCTTGTCATGGACTCGTGTGCATTTGGACTCGGAATTGACTCGTACTCGAACATTTTTTTTTTTATTTAGGACTTGGACTTATTCCCGAGTCCACTCAAGTTCAATTCAAAATATTTTTCATGATTATTAATGTATGTTAATAAAATATTTATTTAAATTGATTGACACGCCCAGTGATTGGTGATTTTCTAGTGTGCAACTGCGCATGACAAATTGTAATAAAATTACTTTTAACACCACCTACTATGTGGCCTTTTTACCCTAAACTGATAATATTTTTTAAACTCTAAGTAAATTCAGTAAAAAAAAAAAATAAAAAAAAAAAAAGGATTTTTCTAAGTAAATAAAAGTAAATTAGGTAATCAACACTCACTGGTCTCGGTCTCGACTCGGACTCGACTCTCTATGGACTCGGTCTTGACTCGGACTCGACTCTCTCTGGTCTCGGTCTCGACTCGGACTCGAGTGAGGTGGTCTCGACTACAACACTGTTGTCTGGAGTATAAGTGCAATGCCTACTTGTGGCGCTTTTCCACTGCTGGTACGGTTCAGTACGGTTTGGCTCGGTGCGGCACGGTTCAGCTCGCTTCGATTTTTTACCCTAAGGGAGGTTATTTGCTGATCTCCCTGGTATTATCCATACTACTGTAGGTTGCATTTGATGCGCAGGGAGTTCTTGCCCAGAACAGAAGCATACCGCCAATCCAATCTTATTTGATGATAGTGGTCCTGACAGAAATTGCAGATTATTGCCCATTATTCACTTAAGTTGATGTTTGTGGTCAGTTTATTTTGCAGATTCTTTATGTCTGATATAACTGACCAACACTGAGTAGCCTACATCTTGTATAAGATTCTTAAAAGTGTCACACCAACAGCACATATTACAGACATGCAGAAACCCAGACATGATCTACAGTACATGTCTAAAGTATATATAAAGAATAAACCTTTTAACCTTTTAATAAGTCTTTTAAACTCCTTGATTTTACTTAACTTAAAATATAATCTGAATGAACAACATATATTTGCATCTCTCATCAGAAAGTTTTTTGCAGGTTTGAATAAAATTGTGTTTAATAACATACGTACCACAGGCATAGTAATGCCAACTCGCTCATCAGACTCCTCGGTAACACCGTGTCCTAACTACACGCGACGCGATAGAATTCCAGCGACAGCAAGTGTGTCTGTCCACACTAGACGCGACGCGACTGTGAGCCACACATTCAGAACAGCGTGTGAATCTCTCCGTGAAAGCGCACTGTTGGCCCGCACTTGCATTGGAAATGGGTAAGGACCAAGGACAAAATCAAATCAAGAAATGACATTATTAAAAATCTAAACATTAACAAAATATACTCTTTGACTAATTTTGTTATGAAGTACAGTTGTATGTTTGCATAGAATTCATTTTGAACGCTATATTACATGCTTTCAAAATCTGAGGTTAATTATCCGTTATCGCTTGTGGCACAGTGACCTATTTTTAACTAAAAATAAATGTGAACTCATAACTGGTGTAATATCTTCATTCTGTCAGCCGCGACGTCGCAGAAATAGGAACCATTTCTAAATTAGAGCGTCAGTTAGAGGACGCGGTTAGGTTTAGGTCTGGGGTGGGGGTAGGGTTACACACGATCCTAGGGCGTCATCTAACTGACGCTAAAGGGCGCCTAAAGCGTCAGATATTGAAGCATGGTCAAAATGCTTCCCAAGGCGTCAGTTAGGTGACGCCTTGGGGGTGAGAATGGGCTGCAAACTTCGACAAGTGGATGAACCGGCTCATTCGGGTCTCTTTGAGTTGGATTCAACTTTGACTTGTGCATCTTATGTCATCAACCCAAAAGTAAAGCTTGATTCAGTTCGACTAATGAACCGGCACAGTAGGTTTCTTCCTGTAAACTGGCTCAAAAGAACGATTCATTCAAGAATTGAACATCACTAGCGACCACCCTGTGTTGTTTTTGGTACACTTGACTTGCACATAGGTTTTCAGGTAGGTTCATTTCTGATCTCTACCATTGTATTTACACTTTTATCACATTCCAACTTCCTTTGTCTTTGTGCACTGTAAATTCAGATCAAACAATTTTTTGCAAATATGAAAGGAAATTTCAATATAATAGCTTCCAGTTTAACATTTTTGCAGAGTGCATAAAACAACATGTTATGCTCATCATGCAGTATGACAGGCTATGGTATATGTGTAAATGTATTTTTTTACTGGTTAATTTTGTTCAATAAAGTGCTGTGTATTTTCTTGTTAGTTTTGCCCCCGGCTGGCATAAAACATTTCTATTTTGTAACATGTAATCCACTTTGATAATTATTATGATTAAATGCTGCAGTTATAATTTCAACTCTTTCCACGAACCTTATTAGAATATTAATCCTAGATGTGCACCGCATAATAATCAGCCTTTGACATCTCATGAATTTTAAGGTATACGTGGTCAGTGAATTGGCCAGGGAAAGAGAAAGATGGCCATTAGATACACTCACGGGCCGTGTCATATATCACCTATTAATTAGCATTAATGCCCGCAGCTCAGAGTCAAGTACATTTAGTCCTTGTAAGCTATCGTGAAACTGAATCTAGGCTCTCTAATCACATAATACCCCCCTTTTTTTTATTTATTTTTTTTTTTTCATTTTGCCTGAATTCTGGTGTTATACAATTTCATATGCAAATCCATTGCATGTCCATTACTGTCCTTGCCATACTATGTACAGCAGCCTAAATCACCTATATAACTACACATATTTAGGCTTTAGCAAGAAATATTTACATTTACAGGGACTGAAGGCACCCATATCCAGTATTTTAACATTTGACACAAACAACAAGCCACAGATGCAACAGTTTCCACTTGGGGGAGCCCAAGACCTTTTTCTCTCCTCTCCTCCCTGTATGAATCTCCCCATCACTCCATACCTCATCCTGGATGGCTCTCACAGCTGGCCTCTCCCTTGCAATATTAATGCCCTGTCTTCTTTGTTTTGAAACTTTGGTACAGATCAGATATGCACCATGTTGATTGCCTGCCTGGAGGACCTGCTTTGATTCTGCCAGGTTCACAGACTCAAGGCAATAATTTATACCCTGAGTTATTAGACAGAACACTTTCTCTGATTTTGTGTGGCTCTGAGAATGTAATGAATTCAAAAGCAGGAGCTGACGGAGGTCCTGTCTGATTAAAAAAATGATGTGTGTTGTCAGAGAAGGGCAAAAAGGAAGGGAGGGCTGCTCAATACACAGTTGCGGATACTAGAAATGCTCACTAACAGTGCTAGAGGTTTAACTGCTATGACATTCCCACTACAATTCAGATGTATTCAGACTAGAAGAACAGTCCTTGACCTCCTAAAATGCCTTTTTATAGGTCATTTCCTCAGGTCAGGGTGTAAATAATATCACAGTACCTCCCTGAACAGAAATACATTGTTTGGATCTTTCACCTCATTATGAGGCAAATTGCCTCACATTTCGAGGCAGAAAGAAATAGAGGGAGATGATATCAGGAGACAGAAGCAGAGGGAGAGAGAGATTCCCTGAGTGGAAGCATGTGGGGCTTTATCTCATGATTTATCTCTGTGTTGAAAGGCAATTATACATGTGACGCTGGCTCAGAGGAAGTGTGCGCTTTAATTTGTGTGAAACAGTCATGCCATTATGTGTTCATGTTAGATGTATAAATCAAAGTTTGCATATTGGCTTGAGTTCAGAAGCACCAAAACCTGAACAATCTGATCTAAACTAAAGTCTAACACGAGTGGTTTACATGGTCAATGTGCAAGGTCGTTTTTAGGTAATAACATGCATACACAGACAAGAAACAATCCTTATGGGCGATACTGTATTCAGATTTGTCGACAGTTTTACATTTGACTTCCACAGTCACAAGTGGTACACACAATTGAAATGAAAGCTGCAATGAACACTTTAAACACAGGGTGCTGCTTATGCAGATTTAGTGTTCTAGCTTTGCCAACATACTCGAGAATCTGCACCGCTATATAGCTAAACTCTGGGTTAAGGATCACAAACGGAGACAGTGGTGCATGAAAGCAATTTCCCTGCGCTGGCAGTGATATTTTATGTCAAGGATCAAACACGCACACAGACCTCTAAACACGTGCGCACACCTTGTAAAAAGCGACGGGGCGATTAAACTCAGGGATAGAAGAGGATTTTTTAGAAACTTTAGCTGCAATGATGACTCCTGTGGGTGGTAAAGTTAAACTATATGTGCTTTGGTTTAAAGAATGCCATGCTTTGTTAGCACATATATACACACAAGTATAAACGCCATTTTCAATACTTGAATATACAACGCAATTAACTACAAAGACAAATGAAATCAGTTAGAAAACACAATGGATGGATTGATGGATGGATAGACAGAGCACAAATCAAAGGGGCAGATGATTGGCATTTCATGTTAGATTATATGACATGTAAGATTATATTGCAAATCTGTGGCATAAGGACAGAGGGCAAAAGCCATTCAAATCTATTACATTAAAAATCAATTCCAATAATGTGACTTTTTAAATCATTAAAAAGCATTCCAAAGTATTGTGGTTTAGATTTGAGTTTCGAATGTTGTCAGTTCCACGGCAACATTTTGGAACTGGTAATACAATTGCAATGCTTTTCCCATGCTATTCAGATTAGCTGGCATTAACTGAAGAGTAAAAAGCATAAGGCTCTTACCTTAACAAAACAGCCTCCTGTGCTCTTCTGAGAGCATGTCATCCTCATGGAAGAACGACGCTGGCTTCTATGCTCGCCTCTTGGCAGCGCTCAGATTCCAAGACTGACTACAGTTGTGTGTGAGACTCCAGCTGCCTCTCTCTCTCTCTCTGTCTCTCTTTCTCTCTCTCCTGTCTCTCTCTCTCCCTCACTTACACATAAAGCCCCCTCTCTCACTCACTCTCTCTAGGTCTATCGTTTCTTTCTTGCTCTGCTGGACAAGGATGCAGTTTGCAGAGGGGAACAGGCTCTGATTGGCTGCCATTCATAAGATTGTGATTTGGGGGGGGGGGGGGGGGGGAGGCTTGGGTGGGAGACCAGTGTTACAGACCAAGGCATTGAAATGAGGACAGTGGGTTTAACACAGCAGGCATGATGACTTTCAAGAATTAAATCTTTGACTAGAAAACATTGGATGAAGGGCAGGAACCCGGAGCATATACAGTACGTGACAAAAATCAGCCTATAAGAACGTTTTGGATTTTTACTAATTTGGATTTTTACTCATAACTGCCAGATTTTTCTGCTGAATACATAAATCAGATTACTCAGATGAATGCAAAAATGCACAATACATCTCTCTCTCTCTCTCTCTCTCTCTCTCTCTCTCTCTCTCTCTCTCTCTCTCTCTCTCTCTCTCTCTCTCTCTCTCTCTCTCTCTCTCTAATATACAGTATATATATATATATATATATATATATATATATATATATATTGTATGTGTGTGTGTGTTGTCAACATTGATGATGAAGATATTTTTTTTTTCTTGATAACCAAATCAGCATATTAGAAAGATTTCTGAAAGATCATGACACTGAAGACTGGAGTAAGGATGCTCAAAATTCTGTTTTATCAGCACAGGACTAAATAAATACAATATATTAAAATATAAAACAGATGACTTTCCCAGAGAATGATAAAAATGTATACCCTGAATGCAATGTAAGCGGCTTTGAATAAAAGCATCTGCCACATGCACAATTGTAAAATGTCAACTACATAGAATATGTGTGCAATTATATAATTTAGAATTCAACCTGAGCTTAATGTTTAAACTATGCGGATAATATCTAATACTGTGGTGATATGAAAAAAGAAACCAATGTAAATTCGAAAGAATGTTGCATCAAACCTTGCGTCTACTGTATCTATATTTTCTCCAACTACAAACAGTATAATTCACACATATCCACTTTTCAATTTCTTTGTACAAAATTGCTTAAATTTCACATACAAGTCCTCTATTGTATGTATAGCATGTATAGTTTCAGGATAAGTGTCACTATGGATAAGTGGCGGAGATGAGAGCATTGAATACACTCTGACTGTCTCTGAGCTAGAAAGAGCCAAGGTGAGGATGGCAAATAAAGCTTTTCATTTGAGTCCTGCTTTGATGTGCTATATGAGATGGATCAAAGACCACACTGATGTGTCTGTCCTACGGCACAGATACTAGGAGAAATTACAGTCGGTGTATTGCAAAATAATAAACAAATAAGTTTGTAATGTGCCACGTGAGCCAAGATTAACATTTGTTTTGACTTTTTAAACAGTCGCATCAGTTCAAATGATGCGTATTTCAGTTGAACAGACCTTGCAAGTACCAGAATATTTATTATATAACCTAAAAGGGTGAAGATGAGCAATCAGTTTAATTTGATCTCAAGGTTTTTACAATAAAATGTATGTTTCTATTTCACTCTATGCGCAGTTTGCAACAGCAAGGATCATTGTATGCACTTGAGCACAGATAAAATATAAATGCCACAATCCAGGTTATTCAAGGATGGTAATGTAACTGATCTGATAAAATGATTCAATTGAAACCTTGCTCCATTTTTATTGCTTTTCTTTTGTACATCGATTTAACTGTATCCAAGTAGTGTATCAATTCAATGGTGTTCTTATTATATCAATGCACATTAGTCTCAACTTAGGTTGTCACAATCCTTCATAAACATTATTAAATACTATATTGGGAAACAGTACAATTATAAGAAATAGTTCTTATAATTAATGTGGAAAACAGCTGAGTAATATTTTTTGTGGAAACCACAATACATTATTTTCAGAACTCTTTGATAATATATATATATATATATATATATATATATATATATATATATATATTTGTAAGTCTTAACTGTCACTTTTGATCATTTTTATGCATTCTTGTATTTTTTCTTGGTAGTAGTGTATACAGCTTATGTTTTATAATATCCCAGATCATTTTAGTCAACCCAGTATATTTGAGCATCACATCGATTGCATTCTGGACCTGCCTTAATGTACTAAAGGATGGTTCAGTGCCAGCTACTGTTTAGTGGTCCCAACGGCAAACCTGCAACCCGTGAGTAAGTGTTGTTATTCATTTCAAATATGAAGAGGTTGATGCATTCGATTTATGCATAAATTACTTCAGCATAAACGGGCCCTTTTAATTCTAAAGGTTACAGGGAGGGTAGAGTATTGTGCAAAACGAAATGATAAACTTGTATTGTGGAGAAAGAAAAAAAAAATTAAAATGTACAGATATTTGTAGGCAAATGTCATTAAAATGTGCTTTCCTAGTGATGCAAACTTTCAAATACATATCATTTTTAGTATACACTCACCCTAAAGGATTATTAGGAACAGCTTGTTCAATTTCTCATTAAAGCAATTATCCAACCAAAATCAACCAATCACATGGCGGTTGCTTTAAAGCATTTAGGGGTGTGGTCCTAGTCAAGAAAATCTCCTCAACTCCAAACTGAATGTCAGAATGGGAAAGAAAGGTGATTTAAGCAATTTTGAGCGTGGCATGGTTGCTGGTGCTATACGGGCCGGTCTGAGTATTTCACATCTGCTCAGTTACTGGGATTTTCACGCACAACCATGTCTAGGGTTTACAAAGAATGGCGTGAAAAGGGAAAAACATCCAGTATGAATCAGTCCTGTGGGTGAAAATGCCTTGTTGATGCTAGAGGTCAGAGGAGAATGGGTCGACTGATTCAAGCTGATAGAAGAGCAACTTTGACTGAAATAACCACTTGTTACAACCGAGGTATGCAGCAAAGCATTTGTGAAGCCACAACACGCACAACCTTGAGGTGGAAGGGCTACAACAGCAGAAGACCCCACTGGGTACCACTCATCTCCACTACAAATAGGTAAAAGAGGCTACAATTTGCAAGAGCTCACCAAAATTGGACAGTTGAAGACAGGAAAAAAATTTTTTCTTGATTTCTGTTTCATTCAGATGAGTCAGCATTTGATGTCAAAATGAGAACATGGATCCATCATGCCTTGTTACTACTGTGCAGGCTGGTGGTGTAATGGTGTGGGGGATGTTTTCTTGGCACACTTTAGGCCCCTTAGTGCCATACTAAAATCACCCTTATAGTCACCAGATCTCAACCCAATAGAGCATCTTTGGGATGTGGTGGAACGGGAGCTTCGTCCCCTGTATGTGCACCCCACAAATCTCCATCAACTGCAAGATGCTATCTTATCAATATGGGCCAACATTTCTAAAGAATGCTTTCAGCTGCCATGTTGAATCAATGACACGTAGAATTAAGGCATTTCTGAAGGCGAAAGGGGGTCAAACACAGTATTAGTATGGTGTTCCTAATAATCCTTTAGGTGAGTGTATGTGTAATATATATATATATATATATATATATATATATATATAGTTCAGTATATTTTTTATTATTTACCTATTTTGCAGGAAGCCTTGCCTGTTTACATCAGCTCAAAGCCACTAGTGTATAGTCATCTTCTCTTGCAGAAACTACTTTGTATATTTTTTTTTAGTGAAGCTGTGAGGACAACTACACAGTCCGTATGGTGATGCATGGCAACTACAAGATTCAACAAAATATATCAATAATCAATAATTAGTTTTAAGCACTTTTTAAGGAAGTTTAGTGGAAAATAATCTACTTTTTTAAATATACTTTTATATATGAAGAGTTCAGATGCAAAAGCCTCTAAATGCCATTTGAAATTTTCTTCTTTAATGATGATTTTTATCAAACTTGTATATTTAAGTTCAGTAATTTCACTTAAATAACAATTAATAGGTAATTATCATCGCCATTTAAGTGAAATTACTGAACTTAAATATACAAGCTTGATAAAAATGATCATTCTAGAAGAAAATTTCAAATGGCATTTAGAGGCTTTTGCATCTGAACTCTTCATATATAAATAGATAATTATTTAAATTTAGAAAGTCTGTAAATGGCACACAGGAACTTAAATCTGTGTATTGGTTCATTCATAGTTTAATGAACCATCTAGGTGAATTGATGCGATTGAGTCAGACTGTGGAATTGGGTATGCACATAAACAAAAAATCCTGTTGGAAAAGCTTGTTACTAGTAATGCTACATCATTTTTCATACTACATCAGAAAACCGCTGTAATGTTACTGGACAATTTATTTTAGTTTTTGTTATAGGCTACAAACTCTGGTTTGAACTATTTCATTTTCTCTTGGAAAGTGCTGTAAACGCAGAAACATGCTACCAAGAATTGATGACAGATGGATGGTGAATGAAATGTTAATGGATTCAAACTCTTTACCCCATGTCTGGGCACCATTACAGAGATAGCAAAGCGAAAGGATCAGCTGCTAAAATGATTGAATGTCACAGTTAAAAGTCAAAGGAAAGACAACATGTGTAGAGAAAACAAAAGCAAAATAATAACTATATCCCTCCTTATTTTCTTGGCAAATTGCAATGTGTGTTATTTCATACAACGCCTCCTCCTTTTCCTCCTGACAGTACCACGCCTCCACCTCCTTGTCTTTCTCCCTGTGTGCCTTTCCTTACATTACTCTTGGCCAGTTCTTCTGCCAAGACTAATGATTGCACATGGGCAGGTTTTTCACTCTCATGGACCTGTTAACATTTCTAGCCAATGCATAAATATACAGTACTTTCATGATATTGGCATTCTCTCATGTTTCTTGCACCTTTCACAGTGTTTTTCAATGTCATTCTAACCACATCAATATTATAAGCAAACTCATGAACAGCTTCACTTACACGGCCTCAAACTGTTCCCGCATATGAGTGCTGGCCAATACATATTTGCACACTTTGTGACGAATGCACTAAATTATGG